GTTATAATTGTGTTAAGTGCCATGAGTGAAAAATTTGAGATAGAGAACAATCGTATATATGTTGGGGAGAGATGGTGGGGGGACCTGCTTTAGATAGGGTGATCAGAGAGGCTTCCTAGGGGAATTACTGTTTCAGCTGAAACTAAAGGATGAGAAGGTGTCAGCCACGTGAAAAACAAGGGAAAGAGTTTCTGGGGAAGAGGGGACAGCATTTGCAAATGCTGGAAAAGATGTGGTGGGTTAGAAGAATTGAGAGAAGGGCGTTGTAACTAGACCATGTTGAGTGCATAGAAGAGTGGACAGCTTGGGAACCCAGAGGAGGGGGAACAGGAAATTAAGCCTCCTTGTCCACCGCAATCTCAGGCTATTGCCTGACCACTTTCATGGCTTGCCATCTGCTCTAACAGGAAGGCTTGGGTTTACCTGAAAATTTTACCCAAACTGGTGTCTGGTAGGAATTTGCTCTTGACTCCAGGCACACAGTCAAATCAAATAGGACAAATTTCCCTGTTGTTTTTTTTTTTTTGTTTATTTGTTTGTTTTTTGAGATGTGATCTCGGCTCACGGCAACCTCCGCCTCTTGGGTTCAAGGGATTCTCCTGCCTCAGCCTCCTGAGTAGCTGGGATTACAGGCACCTGACACCATGCCAGGCTAATTTTTATATTTTTTTAGTAGAGATGGGGTTTCATCATGTTGGTCAGGCTGGTCTCGAATTCCTGACCTCATGATCTGCCCACCTTGGCTTCCCAAAGTGCTGGGATCACGGGTGTCAGCCACTGCACCTAGCTGAGCTTACCTATTTTACCTAACCTTTCTCCTTCCCTGCTTTGGTCTTTGCTTCCAATTCCACCGATGTAACTGCTTGTGGCTTTGCTCAGGAATTAAGGAGTTTCCTGTTGATTTGCCTCTAATTCTGTTTTCAGACCCAGGTTACTCTCTTCCTCTCCTTATTTCCCTTCCCTTCCTGGTCCCATTCTGCCTCTTTTTTATTTTCTTTTTTTTCTTCCTTTTTTTTTTTCTGTAGAGAAAATGCTCGATTCTTTCTTCTAAAGTTCTCTTAATGTTAATGCTGGGTGGGATTTCAGAGTTGAGAGCTGTGCTGTCCAGTATGGTGGCCACTAGCCATGTGTGGCTGATGAAGACTTGAAACATGGCTAGTCTGAATTGGGAGGTGCAATATTAACACTAGATTTTGAAGAGTTAGCACACACATCCACACAAAATAGAAAATATCTTATTAATTTTCTATATTGATACATGTTGAAATGATAATCGTTTTAATGGGTCAAATGAAATATATCACAAAAATTAATCTCACCTGTTTCCTTTTTTTTTTTTTGAGATGGAGTCTAGCTCTGTAGTTCAGGCTGGAGTGCAGTGGCACAATCTCAGCTCACAGCAACCTCCAACTACTGGGTTCAAGCAATTCTTGTGTTTCAGCCTCCCAAGTAACTGGGATTACAGGTGCCCGCCACCACACCCAGATAATTTTCGTATTTTCAGTAGAGATGGCATTTCACCATGTTGGCCAGGCTGGTCTCAAACTCCTGACCTCAAATGATTCACCCACCTCAGCCTCACAAAGTGCTGGGATTACAGGTGTGAGCCACCGCACCCAGGGTCACCTGTTTCTCTTAACATTTTTTAATGTAGCCACCAGAAATTGTGGCTTGTATAAATTTCTACTAGACAGTACTGGTTTCAGAGATTCTGAACTGGAAGCAGTACTTAGAATATTAGGAAATGGAGAGCATTTTTGGAGCAGTGGCTGGAATAATACTGCCGGTATTTGGTGAGTGAGATCTAGGGATGTCAGCATCTACAATGTACTAGACAGGCAATGAAGAATTTAAACTGAGGATATGAAGGTTTAAAGAAAGGAAGTGACTCGTCCAAGCTCACGAAGTGAGTTGATAAAAGAGTTAAACAGTAGGACTCAGGCCTCTTTGTTTTCAGTATAGTTTTGGTAGGAGAAGGAAAAGATATTATTTAATCTCTTCATTTTGAGTGCCACATCCGTGCCAAGGCAGCTGTCTTCTGATGTGTGGCATCCCTGAAGCCCACAAGGAGGGAATACTATAAGAAGCCAAGTACCGCCTTTACGGAGTCCCTGGGTCCGGGGCACATTCTGCTGGGGACATCTATTCTCCCTCACCTTGTGTTTGTGGAGGTTAAACCAGCTCCCCTGGGTAAGCTTCGGTTTGAAGTTAGACAGCCTGGATTGGAATCCAGACTCTACACTTAGCGGGGACTTGGGAAAGTCACTCTATTTCTCCAAGTCTGTTTGCTCATCTATTGTGACAGGTATGACACCCTGTGTTCAGCTGTGCTGTGGCACCTATTAAACTATTGTGTGATCTACTTATTGAGTCATTTGGCACTAAGCTTCTTGCAGGTAGAGCACTTGTTCATTCATTTACTCATTCTACAAATATTTATTGAGCACGTACTTTGTGCCAAACACTGCTCGAGACCTTGATGTCATAGCAGTTTTAAGAACTGACAAGATTCCTTCTCTCACACAACACAGTATTTTCCAATGGAGGTAGACTGGCAGTGGACAAGTAAATAAATAATAAGCAATAAAAATATTAATGATAAGCTGCATGTATTGAGAATTTAAAGAGAGAAATTCTATCTATGAAGAGACAAGTGTCTCCTTTAGATAGAGGAAGCAGCCTGGGCAACATAGTAAGACCTCGTCTCTGCTAGAAAGAAAACAGCTGGACATGGAAGTATGCACCTGGGGTCCCAGCTACTTGAGAGGCTAAGGCAGGAGGATTGCTTGAGCCCAGGAGATTGAGGTTGCAGTGATCTGTGAGTGCACCACTGTATTCCAGCCTGAGTGGACAAGAGTCTCAAAATAAAATAAATAGATAGATGAAGCTTGTCTTTGGACAGCTTTCAAGTTGAGACCCAAAAGACAAGGAGTAATGAGCCATGCAAAGGTTGGGGCCAAGAGAATTCCAGGCAGCAAATGCAAACGCCTACTTGAGGACCACACAGAAGCCTCTGCATTTGTAGCAGAGCACACAAAGGAGAGAGCATCCCGAGGAGATGGAGTGGCATTTTGAAGGGTCTACTCTGATCTCAAAGGGTTTATAAGCAGAGTAAGAGGTCTGGATTTTGTCCCGTGTGCAAGGCTCTAAGCAATGGAAGGACATGATCTGATTTACAGTTTAAAGAGATTGCTTGGTTGCTGAGACAAGAATGTATGGTGGTGGAATAGGAGACCCAGTTAAAAAGAAAGTGATCCAGGTAAGAGATGAGCCTGGGCTAAGAAGATAATGTTAAGATGGAGAGAAGTGTACAAATTTAATTTATGAAGGAAAGACAGTTTTCAAGGGGAGTGCCTGTTGGACTTCTGGCTTAAAGAAGAGGGTGGGTGGATGTCCACCTATTGAGATATTGAAGACTTGGGTGGGAGTAGGTTTGGGGCATGGAAAGGAAGAGTGCTTTGGGGAACATTTCAGGTTTGAGATGACAAGAAGGCGATTTATGTTGAATGGATAAAGAAAATGTGGTCTACCCATATATAATGGAATATTACAAAGCCATATAAAGAAATGAATTACTAAATCATACTATATGGATAGACCCCAAAAGCTTTATGCTAAGTGAAAGAAGCCAGATGCAGAAGACCACATCTTATATAATTCCATCTACATAAAATGTCTTGATTAGGCAAACCTGTAGAGACAGAGAGTAGATCAGGGGTTGCCAGGGGCTGGAGGCAGGAACAGGGAGTGACTATTAGTGGGCACAAGGGATCTTTTTCTGGGGATGGAAATGTTTTCAAATTGAATTCTGTTGAGGGTTGCATAACTCCTAATACTCACTAAAAATCATTGAATCATACACTTCAAATGGGTAAATTTTATGATATATAAATTATACATCAATAATGCTATTATTTTATTTTATTTTATTATTTTTTGAGATGGAGTTTCACTCTTGTTGCCCAGGCTGTAGTGCAGTGGTGCTATCTCGCTCACCGCAACCTCCACCTCCCAGTTCAAGCGATTCTCCTTCCTCAGGCTCCCGAGTAGCTGGGATTACAGGTGCATACCACCACACCTGGCTAAGTTTTGTATTTTTAGTATAGATGGGGTTTCTCCATGTTGGTCAGGTTGGTCTCGAACTCCTGACCTCAGGTGATCTGCCCGCTTTGGCCTCCCAAAGTGCTGGGATTACAGGCATGAGCCACTGTTCCCAGCAGTAGTGCTATGTTTTTTTGTTTTTTGTTTTTTGTTTTAAAGATGGCAGTGCATCTGAGTTTGGAATTCTAGGAAAGGGTAAGATCTGGACATAGAGTAAGGGGTTTTCTGTAAGCACTTGCAGTCGCTTTGAGAAGATGTGTAGAAAAAGAAAGCAGCCCTCGGTCTGCGTCCTGATGGCATTCCAACATTTCAAGGTTTGAGGTTGGGCAGAATGAGGAGGAGACATAAAGAGAAACTGAGGAAACTGCAGGGCAGGAAGAACACCTGGCAAGTGTGGAGCCATGAAAGTGGAGGAGAGAGCTTTGTAAGAAGGGAGCAGAGAACTGAGTAGAATGGTACGGAGAGGACAGGTACAATAAGGGCATTGAAGACAATTGGATTCAGCCTCAAGGAGATCCTTGTTGCCTTAAGTGTCGATCTTGACAAGAGCAGTCTCAGCCCAGGGATGGGGACAGAAGCCCAGCTGCAAAGGGGCGAGGAGGGAGTAGGAGGGAAGGAAGCAGTGGTGCCTCCACACAGCTCCTTCAGAGAATTTCATTGTAATGAAGAGCAGAGAAATGAGGATGTAGCTGGAAGGAGAAATGGGGTCAACAGAAGGGTTAAAAAAGCTAGGCCATGCATTTCGAGAATATGTTAATATGTTGTTGGAAATGGTCCAGAAGAGAGACGAGTGGTGACATGAGGGAGAGGGGAAACACCTGCAGAAACTAAGGCCCCCAGAAGGGCAGAGGGGATGGAACCAGGACATAAAGAGAAGGTCTGGAGGGTAGGCAGGAGGGCCTCACGGAGGCAGGCAGATGGAGAACCCATATTACTTGATTTTCTTTTCCAGTGAAGGAAATGAGAAGATCTTCAGCTGAGAACGAAGGTGGCGGCAGGGCAACAGGAGCACCTGCCTTATGGCTGATACCCTTCAGTGCCAGGCACACGGCATGGGCTCAGTCAGTCTTTGTTGCCATTAAACACTGCAGGAGTTTTCGAACTTTGGGAAGCATAGAAGTGATTACCAGGAGTGGTTGTTAAAATGCAGATTTCTGGGTTTTTATTTCAGAGATTCTGATTCAGAAGACTCATGAAAGAGCCAAGAAATCGGCATCTTTAACCAGAGCCCCAGATGTTTCTGATGCAAGTGGCCAGCGGGCTATAGTTTGAGAATCACTGAAAATATGTCTGTGAACAATAACGTGCATGAACACACCCCTACAAACAGGAGACTTTTAATAAAGAATTAATAAGACGCAGTTCTTTTCAACAGACCGTACCTTAGGCATAATTAGATTTCATATTTCATAAATAATTAAGACCCATTGCATTTTGTTTTTAGAAATAGAGGAATGTTCTTTGGTTTAAAAAGAAAAGGCAATTAAACATTAATGTATACTTTTCTTTGCAGGGGAGAGAGCAGAATGCGGCACCACCAGGTGAGAGTGGGAGAGTCGTGTTTTCTTTCATCTGCTGCCCAAGGTGGGAGTGGGATGGGGCCGGGGAAGCACTGCTGGGAGCTGGAGAAGCAGGGATGGCTTCTTCACCAGTGTCCCCATGGGCTGGTATGTGTGTGCCCGGGTGAGGCACAGCTGCTGCTTCGCTTGTTTGAGCATTAGACTGAAAAAGCCACGCCCCTCCAGGCTGGCCATGGAAGGGGCGCTTTTGGGGCTGCTGTGTGGCAGTGGGGTACCCTCCCTTTGCGCTGGCCATCAGGTGAGACAGTAATGTCTACTAAGAGTGGCTGAGGGCAGCCTGTAGGGGCCAGAGGCTGTGGGGTGGCGGTTGACTTCTCTCCCCACCTGCTACACTGCGCTGAGCAGACTGCCCAGCCTTGTTGTGAGGCCCAGCCTGAAGTCCCTACATGCCAAGGCCTTGGGCCAGACTTGGATTATGCGCAGCTGGGCACACGCATGTGCATAGGCGTGCACAGACTCCCCCGCCATCAACACCCTGGCTTGGACCTCATGGGCACTTGGATGGGCTGACAGAAAGTAACACACAAGCAACTTCTGCTTTCTCTCTAGCTTGTTCAACATCCCCTTTTGTGCTTTTCCCTGAGCAGACCAGAGCCAGTGAACACTTTCCACTCAGCAGCTGATAGCCCAGGGGCTGACTTTTCTCCCCTTTCAGAGAGCGTAGATCTGTAAGTGGCTCTGTCACCAGCCAGGTTGTTTGTTTAGAGCCTATTTAATTTCTGCATCCCCAGTAAGAGATACTGCACTGCCTAGCTGGAATTCAGCCAGTGGCGCAGAGGCCTGCACTTTTCCATCCCATGGCAGTAGAGCGCTACTTTTTGCCTCACTTTCTGGGCCCAGGGACCTGAGGGCATTCTTTCCTTTCCCACAAATGCTTCCCAGTGGCCCCAAATCCTGGAAAACTATCATGTTTGGCAAAGCAAAGATGAACTTCCAACTCTGTCCCGCTCCTTGGGAAGGGAGTGGAGCAGAGGCTTGGAAAACCCTGGGGTTTTCAGTTTCCTGGGCTCGGGATGGGGAGATGGAGGGCTCAGCAGAAGTTTAGCCCATACAGCTGTTCCTCTGGGCTCTGGCAATTTGGAAACATCAGGATGATTCACACCAGGCGAGCCTTTCCAGCACATGGGGCGGCAGATGTGCAGGTCACTTTCGAAGAACCTTTTAGGAACAAACCCATTATAATTTTTTTTTTCTGGCAAGAGAATGTTGCCATAGTCTTAAAACAACAGAAGTCATATTTTACACCAAATTCTGCAAATAGTGAAACAGACGGGGGATGAATTGAGCTGTCCCTCACTTCCTCGTAATTCCTAGAACTCACGCAGAGAAGATTGTTCCAGCAGAGTGCAGGAGAGGAAATCCATAATCAAACGCTTGGCCAGGTCTCAGGGTCCTCCCTCAGGGGAAAGTTGAGGGCTTGTTTTTTTTTTTGGTGGTTTTTTTTTTTTTTTTTTTTTTTTGTCTTTTAAATAAAGCCCTCTGAAGTGTGGTCTTCCACACCCTCCTTGACCTGGGGCCTGGGAAATTCAAGCTGAGTTTATCAGACCTCCCACTTAGACACCCATCATTCAACTGCAGCTACCCTGCATTAAATTGCAGACCTAGCCTTGTGTACTCTGGTTCCTGGCCAAGGTCAAAGGCAACTTTGTTAGTAAACTAAAAGTCTCCCCTTACCTCCAAAATCATTATTTAACTTGTGGAAATTGTTGCCAACAATGTCTCTGTCCGGTGGCTCTGTCTGTATCTTCCATGCGCTCCCACTCATGGTGGATATCATTTTTGGAAGGTTATTTGAGCAGGATCCCCTTAGCCAAGTTGTGTCGACCTTGTATAGAGGAATCGGATTTATGTATGGGCTACAGCATGTTATATTTTTCTCACACTTCAGAACCTTATCTTAGACCAAATTCATAATAACCCTGTAATTCAGGCTGGCCAGATGTGATAATACACTTAAATTTAAAAGCGTATTATTGTAAATGTCAAAGCAAAATGAAAATATAAGGTTTGATTATTGTGATTCAAATGAATGTCTGGCGCCCCTTACCCAGGTTAACATGCTCTCGCAGTCTGGATTAGAGATGAAATCACTTGAGATCTTGTCCAAACAGATGCAACACAGTACACAACCCATGCACAGCCTCCAAGGGCCCGACTGCCACCATTTGGGATGTTGACCTCCAGGTCTATTAGGTTATCTAGGGGAATTTTTCATCACATCCTTTTAGTTGCAGGATAATTTTGAGGCCATTATCTGTGTTGCCAATGTGTGTTAATTTTCATCTTGGTTAAAAGGCAGAAAGGGGACATTGGTCTCTGGTTTCTCTCTCTTCCTCTCTGTGGCTTTCTCTGTTCCTGTTTTCCCTGCCTCTCTTTCTTTCTTTCCTTTTTGCTCTGCATCTGAGCAGCAGAAGAGATGGAAGGCTTAGGCTGCCCCACTTTCCTTGGCCGAGCTGTCCCCCTGCTCCCCACTTTGTGCCCCACCCAGCACTTCAGTAAGTCGGTATAGATTTGATATTGTGCAAAGTTGGGATAGCTACGTTTCCTTGTCAGAGATTCCAGACAGTGCACAGAGCATCACACAAAGAAAGAAATCCTGGTGTGATTCATGCAGTCCTTTGCTTTCTGGGTTGGGCAGGAAAAGTGGGAAAACATATTCTATTTTGCCTTTATTCCTTTGTGTAAAATTTAAGAAAAAACAAAAACATTTAGGACTTTCTTTTAAGGAAATCCTCCAGTTGGACACCTTAGGTTTTTTGATATTAAATGTCCAACACCTGCTTTAAGAGTCTCCGTTCTTGCTGGCCATGAGAATTTAACAGATAATTTAATGTTACTTCTGGGTGTTCTTTGATAAAATCACTTTCGTACTCACACTAGAGCCTTGAGAGTAGGAAGAGCTGAATTTACCCCCGGCTTCAATCACATTTTATTGTGTGACCTTAGGCAAGTTTCTTCACCTCTTGTGGGCTCATTGACCTTGTATGTAAAGCGAATTGAATATTCTTTCTCAACCTCACAGGGTTGTTGTGAGGTTATCATGCATTGTGATAAGGAAATGATCTGGGAACGTTCAAAAACAAAACCAAACACTGAAAACTGGGTGACAATGTTGCTGTCCTCAAGTTATTTCTAATCCCCCAGTTAAAAACTTATGGCCTTGTGTCACATTTTTGACACTCTCTTTTACCTTTGGCATTTGAAAATTTAAGAGCAGATCCTGTAAGAAACCCCACCCCCCACATATACATCCTCAAAAATAAGTAATTTTTGAAAGACAAATGACATGGACTTAGCTAACCAAATTGACATAGATCCAAGATGGGCTTGAAATAATCTTGCTTGTTGTTTCTTTTCAAAATTTTGATCTGTGCTGTTATTTTGTTTCCATTGTTTGGGTGGCATGATATTTGGATTCACTTGATTTTTGCCCATGCATCTACTGGAGCTAGCAGCATTTGCTCAATACTCAAACACCTAGGAGAAGTTGGTTGCTGGTCCCTGGATGGCTGGGCTTCTGAAGGAGACAGGTACAACAAGCCCAGTCAGCAGAGGCAGCGTGAATCTCATTTATCCTGATTGGCTGCATAGTCCAGAAGATTTCTTGCCCACTCACAGAAATCAGTCAAGATTTGGGGGACCAGGTCTTTGCTTGTCATATGTGGACATGATCTGTGCCTGGCTGAGTCCACACTTGTTGCTATCCAAATTTTGAACCAAGCCATTTGAAAATGAACTGCCTTTCTTAGTTAGGGGCCCTCTTCTTAACCTTAAAAAAGCCCTTTGCTCCAGGAGGCTGGCACCATTGAGCCTGGCCAACTTGTGTGGTGAAATGAGCAAATAAGCCTACACAGGTATATGCATGGTGAGCAATTCTGGAAACAGGTCCAGTGTTTGTGGCTGTTTCACTGGTGAACTGTGTTGTGGTTACCCCTCCCTGTGGCCAAGAGTGGAGTATACTTTAGGAATGAAAATCCTAAAGTAAAGCAAGACACTTTCAACCTGATCCCATGGCAAAGGTTACTGGGATAGATGAGTCCTTGGCTGTAAATTTAAAAAGTGCCCTAAGGCTCCATGATGGTGACCTGGTAGGAGAAACCCTGAACTTGGAGCCAAAGAGTTTCAGGTCCCGCTGTCAGTTCTCCTTCAGAGGAGGCTTCAGTTTCTTCCTCTGTAAAATGGGGCCACAAATTCAGGGTTGAGGTGATGTTAAGAATAATAACAGATTTGAAAGTGCTTTAATTGAAAGTGTGCATGAGGCCAGGTGCAGTGGCTCACTCCTGTAAATCCCAGCACTTTGGGAGGCCGAGATGGGCGCATCTAGAGATCAGGAGTTTGAGACCAGCCTGGCCAACATAGTGAAACCCCATCTGTACTAAAGATACAAAAAATTAGCCGGGCCTGGTGTTGTGCACCTGTAATCCCAGGTACTTAGGAAGCTGAGTCAGGAGAATTGCTTGAATGCAGGAGGTGGAAGTGGCAGTGAGCCGGGGTCACACCATTGCATCCCAGCCTGGGCTACAGGGTGAGATTTCGTCTCAAAAAAAAAAAAAAAATGTGTACTTGACTAAAGAACAGGATAGTACCATCATCCTGGGCCACCCGGGAACCCCAAAGAAGTTACAGTCTCCCTCATGGCATCAGTTTCTTCATCTCTGAAATGAGAATGGTAATTGCCTGGCTCTTAGATCAATGAAATAAAGATTAGTCAAGTGCATTTGAAATGCCAAGAGGCATTAGGAAGATCAGTGCCCTGGTACATCGGGAGTTGAGACTTGGTGATAAATTTAAGCCAAAATAATGAAAATTAACCCTCACAATCATGTTTGAAAGTCTCTTGCTTTCTCGGGCTGCAGATTACATCTCTCTCCCCTGATTCCCCCTCCATCTGGTCAGCTTTACAGGATGACAGCTTCTGATTGGAGTTTCAATGGTTTCTTGCACATGTACTATTTTCCCCCTAAGATTTAGAATGCATTTGCATTATGTAAGAGTTGCTCCTGCTTGGCATCGTGGGTAAATTAAGATCCCCTAAAACATCCAAAGGCCTTCAGATGGAACATTGGAAACCAATGTCTTGGCGGGGGGTTAGGGGCTTCCATTTATGTTTTGTGTTCTCCTTTAGTCATGGGTTTTAAGAGCATCTTTCCCAGTTGTATGTTTATGTTGGTTGCTTTCTTGATTTCTTTTGTTCCGTTTTCCCCTAGGCCCCCCTGTCTTCCCCCTAAACCACAGAAAATGAGGAGACCTAGGCCTCTCTCAGTGTATAGCCATAAACTCTTTAACGGCAGTATGGAAGCATTCATTAAGGTACTTGCTGGGGAGCCGTGGAGTCCGCGAATGTGCCCAATGTAATGGCAGCCTCTGTCCACCCGCCTCCCTGCCAGCAGACAGCCCTATCCTTGGCCAGGCCCTGTGGAGCTAGTTCCTCGCTGCAGCCTGCTCTTGGCTTTGGCGAGGACTTTTCACAGGAGCCGCTGTGGCCTCTAACCAGTTGCTCCTAAAGTGCCCTGTGCAGTTCTCAGCCCTGGGGTAGGGATCAGATCATGATGGAACCCAGCGAAGTCCAAGTGGGGCTGAAATACCAGTGCAGCGCGCCCAGCCAGCTACGCTTCATTGCTTCAGCAACTGCAGTCCTAACACCTGAGGGACAGTCAGAGAAACCCTATTCCCTCACTTCACACCCACATCTCCCAGGAGGAGCTGAATTGAAAGCAACACAGAGGAAATCCCTGTGGGTATCAGTGTGTTTTTAAACACGTGATTTTTTTTTTAGTTACATATATATATATCAGCAAAGGAAACACATACAATTTTTATGAGAGAAAATCCTCCTACCTAGTTTTGCTTCCCGTTAGGTGGTTTGGGAGAAGGGAGAAGAGTTGAGGTTGTCCCTATTGAATTCTAGGTTAACCCTTTATACCTTAAACTAAAAATTAAAGTAGTTCAGCTAAGTGAGTTTCTCTTTTCTTTCCTCTTTGGTGTAAAGGGTATGAGATCAAGCCATATCAGATATAATGGCTCAAGGGAAATTAAGATGATAACGGAGAGGCAAAGAGTGGGAAGATGCTTGAGGAAGCGGTGAAGCACTCTTAACATTACTTAGAGGAAGAGGGGAGGTCCCTGCAACTGATTTGAGAGCCCACTACCTTCTAATGAAGACATTCTCTGCAGAGAAGATGATAGATACCAATCAAGAGTGAAAACAAAGGCTCTTGAGCTTTGCCAATGACTTTGGAGTTATGGAGGATGCTCGTGTTCCGGCTCTCTACTCATGGTTCTCAGACGGGGGCCAGCACAGGACTTGCAGGACAGCAAGAGACTGGATATGGGTTTGGCCTTAGGCAGGGGAGAGGGTAAGCAAGACCAGCCTGGGTCCCCGGACTGTCTCTGTCTGTGGGCTGAGTTCTGGGGAAGGGAGAGTGAGGGGAAGGGAAAATGGAAGACTAGAGCCCAAGTGGGGACTGCCCAGGGGTGAGGGATGTCAAGGGCTGCTGTAGGATGCCTAACAAGACCGAAGCATGGAGGATTCCCAAAAGGATAGGCCCATGGGTACATTAGGAAGGAAGATCAAGAGGTGACCCAGAGGGAGTGGTTTATTGGTCATGGGAGGGTGGGGCTGTGCCAAAGGAATCCTCCGTCTCCATCCTCCTTTCTGTCTCCTCTAAGACTTTCTTCTTTCACCTTTGCCCCTAAAAAATTCACAGTCCATGGCCAAGAGGGGACTAGTTACTCTCCCCTCCCTCAAGAAGCCAGTAGTGGAGCTTGGGAGATATTAAATGCAAAAGGCAGAAAGTGGAAGGTGATTCAAGATGAGCACCTAGTGAGTTATCCCCACAAAAGCAAGTTCAGGACAGGTGTGGTGGCTCACACTTGTAATCCTAGTACTTTGGGAGGCTGAGGTAGGAGGATGGCTTGAGCCTGGGAGGTCAAGGCTGCAGTGAGCTATAAGCCTGGGAGGTCAAGCTGCAGTGAGCTATAATCGTGCCACTACACTCCTGCCTGGGTGACAGAGCGAGACCCTGTCTCAAAAATAACAACAAAACAAGTTTAGAGCAAGAAGAGCTATGAACTCAAGCACAGGAGGCTTCTGGAGGGGCTTTGAAGGAAAGGTGGGAATAAAGAGAAGAAGAAAAGGGCAGAAGGAATTATTGAAAGGAGGAACAGAAGGAATGAAGGCTCAGAGACAGGGATATCCTCAGTTTGCTTAGGTCTTTGGAAATGAGTCATCGGTCAGGATACTTAGAAGGAATCCACTCTTATCTGACAGTACTTGACAAGTAGGTGTTCTGTTGAATTAGATATTTATAGGTCCGACATATCAGATGTGACTATAAAGTAATCTGACTTTATTCCTTCTGACCAACACATCAGAACCTAGTCAACCACATGAGTGTTTGCCCCTTTGAGGCAGTCACCTTGGGAAGCTACCTTCTTACCTGAATGTGTTGGCATTGCTGCAGCTGCTTTGGTCAATCTTCTTTAGAGCCTTAAGCTTGGCCTTTACCAGTGTGGCCAAGACTTTGTATTCGAATGGACACCTTGTCTTTGGAATAGAAAGCTCCATTTGGAAGCTGAGCTTTGTGATGCCATTGGAGGTGCAAAATGGCAAGAGGAATTGCTACAGTGGGACTGTTTCCCTGGCCCCTAAAAGAGCCCTCAAGCAGCACCAGCCTAGAGCACTCGAGCAGTGGCAGCACTGTTAGAAAAATGCAATTAAAAAAAAAAAAAGAAAAAAAAAAGAATAAGTGCATCACCTCCTAAGGGGAAAAGTTGGAGGAATAATACTCATTTGACTGGGAAAAAAGGTGTGTTTGTTAAATACTATTTAATTAATTAATTCATTCATTCATTCATCTATTGAGGCAGAATCTTGCCCTATCACCCAGGCTCCAGTGCAGTGTTACAGTCACGACTCACTGTAGCCTTGATCTTCTGTGCTCAAGTGATCCTCCTACCTCAGCCTCCTGAGTAGCTGGGGCTATAGCATGGCTATACACCATGCCTGGCTAATTAAAAAAAATTTTTTTTTGTAGAGACAGGGTCTTACTATGTTGACCAGGCTGATCTTGAACTCCTGGGCCCAAGGGATCCTTTCTCCTTGGCCTCCCAAAGTGCCAGGATTACAGGCATGCACCACTGCACCTGGCCTTACTATTGCATTGCTTTATAGTCACACAGTCCTCATCAGATACTATCAGTGCAGTTCCACAAACTCATACTGTGCACCTACTATCAGCTAGGTGGTCAATGTTTTACAGCACAGTTTTACTTTGAAATATTATTAACTTTCAGAGAAGGCAAAGGCAGCGTAACGTATTCCATCCTTCAACTATCGAGAAAGAATTTAATTTTCTATTATAATTCGCATGACTTCTGAAAGAACATTGAACTGAGTCCCCAGCTTTGAAAAACCACACCTGTGAAAAATTTTTCAATAAAATAACACCTCTGGGCTCTACAATTATGATGGTTTAGAGGGACAAGGAAGCATCCTCAGGTTAATAATAATAAGTAAATGTTGCTAGGGTTTGATTTATACATTTCTAGGACCCTACCTGAATAAACAAACCCCTTTCAAAATCCTTGATGTTTTTTCCTCCTCTCAGACAAAACGAGGCCTCATTTTTATAAGAGCCAGTTTTGAAGCCCAAGAGATTCACCCCTGGGACAAGGGGAGAATCCTCATCCTGTTTCTGTAAAATAAGCATGATAATTACCTACTTCATGAGTTTGTGAGGAGCATTAAATGAGCCCATATATGTTATGTTTCTAGAGCACTGGATGGCACATAGTAAGCACTATGTATTACCTATGGTGATTAGCATTAATTTTAGCATATTGCTCCTAGAGCCTGTTAGACCAGGCTGTTTGCTCAGTTCTGGGATTCTGGTAGGTTTAGTCAGCATGTCAGGTAGCAGACAATTCCAGTTGTTGAGATGCTGAGACTGTACAGATGATGCTAGCTAGAAGGCACACATCTTCTAGGAGCCTGGATGGAATAAGTGCTCACCCCAGAGATGGACCTGCTGCACAGATGGAAAAAAACAGACAGCACTCGTCTGAAAATGGGCATCATCAGTGGCTTTTAGTGAAAGTAAAGGCGCCAGTTCTGTCCCCAAGTTCATGAAGGCATTCTGACTCAACTTTCCTCCCTCCTCCAGGCCTTTCTCAGCTTTTGCATTCCTTAGTGCCAGTGTAAGGATCAAGAGGGTAGGAAGGAGAGCAAAGCCAAGTAGATACCCAAGAAAAGCAACTTAGGGTGTATGGTAGGGACACATGGGAAGCTGTTTGGAATTTGGTGTCAGGTGGAATCCTATGGGCCTCTATCGAGAAGGCACCTTGTAGACATGATCTTGTTAGAACTGAACTTTTTACCAGGAATGAGGTTTCTTGAGCTGAATTCCAGAGACACTGTTCCAGTGGACATAATGGTCTACTTCTCTGCTTTTTGTGGGCAGCTGGGAGTACCTTACGGGGTGGTAGGTAGGCTTTTGTCCATGGGCACAAAAACAGTCTCTTTTGTTGAAGAGAAGCTAGGTACGGGAATGGGAATGGGTCCAGTCCACATAGTTGCTGCTCTTTCACAAGGACTGAAAGAGGCCCCCCATGTCAGCTGGTATCTGGGAGGATAGCTAAGGCAGCCATGTGGGAAAGCTGGCTGGGTGGCTTCCAGAAGCCCCATGAGGCTCCCAGGCTTGGGGGTGGCCCTCCCCACAGGCCGGCTGTTTGGCAGGCTCCCCAGGACCTTGGCTGGCTGCCATTGCATTTCAGCGTTCACGGACTCTGAAGGATCTGCTTACTTTAACTGATCTTGTTCCTGCATAATCTTTTCTTTTTCTCCTGCTCTGCTGCCTGTTTATTTTTTGTTATCAGAGGAAGAAGAAATGCTCGAACCAGGAACCAGGTATTTACTAGAAAGGCCCGTTAGCCCCATTCATCGCGATGGAAACTGTCTTTAGTAGTGAATTCCAGAATACAGCCCACCTTACCTGTTGCTGATGGGTCCACATTCTTGTCCTCTCCCTGGGCACAATCAGTCAAGGAAAAAATTCACAGGTGGGGTGTGGAGGAGCCAAGAACGTATCCAAATCTATACTGTCTTCACAAGAGCATATTACATATACCTCTTTGCTTACTTACCTTGTGAGGAGGCTGGGCATTTAATTCAGCCCCTTTTAAAGAAAGTTTAAAAGAATTTGATGCCCTTTAAGTGACGTGGAATAACAGAGAGGTCAACCAATCATGGAATCAAAAGAAAATGTCTCCCACCCTCCACAATCATTTGTGGCTGCAGACCAGTCTAGGAAGATGTCATTGAAAATACATTCACGTCCCAGGTGCACATGTGGAGAATTGCATCTTATTCAGCCTTTTAAACAAAGGTTGGCCCCTAGATGGCCAACGGCTGACATTGGCTGCCTCTGGAGCTTTTCCCTGTGACATGTTTACTGTGAAATGCAGTATGCATCTGGGTGTTTAGTTGTGACTTCATGAGTAGAACTGGTCTTCCCTTCGTAGAGTTCAAAATTTTCATCAGGGGCCAGCCTTGCTTCTCCCATGTCCTCTTAATTCTGGACTTGATCCTTGAGCACTGGGAAAATAGCAATGAGTTAAGACAAAGTGGAGGGGGAGGCAGAGAACTCTTCAAGGCCAGACTCCAGCCCCCTCTATATGGTGGTTCCCTCTCCATTGCCCAAGTGGGCCTACCAGGCCTCCTGAGCGCAGGTTCCTTACCAACTGGGTAAGAAGACAGAGCATTTCTTTAAAATGATCATAGCTATGCCTTTTTGTGCACACAGCTGAAGGCTCTCTATTGTAACTGTCTGTGGAGACTTTAGGATTAGCAGTTCCTTGCTTGTTTTCCTACTAATCTGATGGTACTAATATTCTGGCTTGAGTCTGTAATCTGTGTTTGCAATTTCTTTTTCCTGTGGTGGTTGTCAAGTCTCATAAAACTCACAATTTTTCTTTTCTTAAGGATTCAGGACAAGCTATACCACTTGTAGTCGAGAGCTGCATCCGATACATCAATTTATATGGTAAGCTGGATCTTGGGCCAGTGTTTTCAGCAATCTGCAGAACAGGTGCTAGGCTGTTCTGATAGGAAATGAGAGTCTAATTCATCCTGGAAGACATCCCATCATGGCTCTGCTTTTTAGGGGAAAATACGGCATGCAGCAGCTGCTCTTCTGAGTGCTGCTTCTGAGCCTGTGTGTTGGGGGATGGAGATCATGGTAAGAGGATCCAAGACCTAAGAAAATGAGAGTAGAAAGGGCATGGACAAGATAACTCAACCCTATAGCTCTGTGCTTTGAGGACTGAATGGAGTTGGCCAATAAATAGCTATTACTACTAGATTATAAGCTCCATGAAGGTATTACGTTGATGCAAAAGTAATTTTTGCTATTAGTTTTGAATGGCAAAACTGCAACTACTTTTGCACATGGTGTCTGAGATTTGTTAGCCATGGTATCACCAAAACATAACTGGTGTTTGTCCACTCCTTCATTTCTCTAAAACTATATTTATTGAGTGCATAATAGGCACTGCTTTGGACAATGGGAATATAGGCATGAACAAGACAGGTGCAGTGCCTGCCCTGCATAGCTTATATTTCCAATGAAAAGGGCAAGGAGATTATCAAGTGGAAAAATAAATAATATCATTTGAGATAGTGAAAATACCATGAAGCTAATTAAAAGGGGATAGAGAATGGCTGGAGGGGAGGGGAGGTGCTTTGGCTAAGGTGGTGAGGAGAGATGTCTCCAAGGGGGTGATGTTTGAACTAGGTGGTACCTGAGTAGAAGCAGCCAGCTATGCAGTCCAGGTGGAGAGAATGGAGGATGACGAGTGGAAAGGCCTAGTGTGGGGAGGAAGGTCAGTGTGGCTGGGTGGTAAGGAGCCAGGAGGATGGACTCAGAGACTTGGGCGCTAGAAATTCAATATTGTTTAATTAAAGAGAGGAATAAGCATTTATTGAGGCCATACTATGTACAAACCAAACTTTGATCAAAGCCTGCCTTTGAGAGTAAACACTTCCTAAATTGTCATGTGGAAAATTGTTTTATATAGAAAAATAGAGATAGGGAAAGTATCACAGGCTCCCCCATTAATTCCCATTTAAGTGGAAACAGACCCTTTAATTCGTTCAGCTGTGCAAGCCGCTGTTATGTCATTACTGTCTTTTCAGGTATAAGGGTCTCCTCTTTGTTAAGGCCTTGTAGAAACATGTAAAAAAATAAGATTGTTTTACTTAATAATTTAATCTCTCCCAAGTCCAAGCCAGAATGTACCCTAGAGTCTAGCTTTTCTCGAAGGCAGAACATGTCTGTATACAGGGAAGGAAAGGTATTGATACAAACTTCTTGTGGCCTTTTCCTTTAAGCTCAAACAGAAGATCACAAATGTATAAAGCAGATGTGTCTGAGGATTTTGGCCAGCTGCACTTCACTGTGAAGTCCATTTTTGGAGACCTTCGTAGGGAATGACTCTGTTATAAAGGATCGGGGGGAGAAAGGGAAAAGCAATGGGGAGAGTCACCGATATTCTTGATGGTCTAATGAACTCTAGGTCTCATGGATTTATTATTTCTTTTTTGTGTCCTTCTTTTTCAGGACTCCAGCAGCAGGGGATCTTCAGAGTGCCAGGTTCTCAGGTGGAAGTCAATGACATCAAAAATTCCTTTGAGAGAGGTGGGTACAGAGTGACCATCTTAAGCTTGTGCTAGGGGAAACCAGGGTGAACACTCACATGTGTCTTGGAGCTAGTGGTGTGCAGGAGCTGGCCTGCAGTGGTTTGCAGGAGCTGATTGTGCACATCTCTTCCCAACTTCACATTCAGTGACTTTGTCCTGGTACTTGGAATAAGCCATGCATGACTGGAGTGTTTACACCACAGAAATTGGCAAACACTGAGTTCTAATTGTTTCCCACCAAACAGCTAACCTTAACATTTACCTACTACCAGCACCAGCACCACTACCACTACTGCTACTATTACTACTGTTACTGCTTACGGGTGACTTTCTGCAGCAGACTGTACAGTGGGTTGCCGGAAAAGGGTTCCTTGTAAAGAGCTCTGGAATATTTATGTGAATCTGTAAAGGATGCTACATTTTAGAATTGGAAGAACATAGAAAATACTGAGTGGCTTTTAGGATATCTTAATTTTTAATTTTTTATGCAGTAGTTTTGGCAAGCCACACATTGGGAGGAAGAGATTATATACTCCCTCCATCCCTGGAGAGATGACCTAGTTCCCATTTCAATTTAAGCAAGGATGTGAAAGCTTATTAGAAGTAAGGTGGACCACTAGACCAGGACACGTGATATATTTGGTGTAGTCTCTCTGGGCCTTGGAATCCCTGATAGGAACAGATGGCCAGTGACACTGTCCAAGCCAAGCAAGGACTCACTGGGTTAGGAAATGCTCAATTCTTACACCTCTGCCTTTGAATATTCAATGCTTATCTCACTGCTACACTGAAACAGAAAATCCATGTATTTTCATTTGAGGAAATATTTTCAATCCCACTCCCTGATTCTAGAACAAAACCCAACATTAGCAAGTCCATAACCTCATCCTAAGGGAGGAAGCAAGAGCTGGAATATAGGTATACTAAATAATATCTCTGCCTCCAATTTTCCAGTATTTGGAAAGGTCATGTCTCCATAATCCATTCCTTCTCAGCTCTGATTTACTGCCTTCCTCTCTGAGTGGTTCTGGTACTGAGGACCCCAATCCCACACCCCTTTACTAGCAGTACATCATATCCCAAAACGTATGGTTTACCCCTGCTGGCTGTGCTCTGAGCAGGCCTCTCTCTGTGTTTCCTACTTACTACCTAGCTCCCCTCGTACCCTGAAAGAGATGCCTCTTGAGCAAATTCTCTGCCTCTCAGTCCTCTCCATTCCATCCTGAAGTGGAGGGAGCAATCTGCAGCCCCAAGCAGTACTGCCACGGCCTGCAGGCACAGACCCTCTGGGGATGTCGGCACTCTGGGTTGGAACCATGTGTAGACAGTGAAATTTGGCTGTATGTCATGCTTAGTGGCCTCCTAGGATCTAGGAGAGCTTTGTTTCAGGAACCTACTCCAGGATCTTGGGTGCTTATAATCAGGGAGCCCCAGGACCCCCTTGTTCCAGCTCCTACTTAGGCACTGAGCCCTATGCCATACAAGGTAGTGGACTAGGGCCTGGAAATGCAAATGAACAAAAGACAGTCACTACTAGTGAGGGAGCCAGTTTAGCCAACAGCCAGTATAATCAGTGCAATCGGTGGAGAAGGCACTGAGGAGCATAGGAGCCCCCAGCCCAGCCTGGATGGAGTGGGGAGGAATAGCAAAGGCAGGGAAAGTTTCCTTGGGAAAAAATGCCTAAGCTGAGGCTTGAAGAGCAAGAGCCAGGGAAAGCAGGGGCAAAGAAGGGGCATTCCAAGCCAAGAGAACAGCATGTACAAAGGCCAGAAAGCAAGAGGTCTCTCCCATCAGTGTCCCTGATGCAAGTGTCATTTGTCATTGCTCTGAGCCTCTCTTGACAGCACTGGACAGTCCAGTCCAGAGTTTTGTTCCTTTATTTTCCCCAACTCCTTACACTCCTGTTGCCCTGTGTGCATTTACAGTGAACAGAACCATAGTGTGGAACCTTTGCTGGTTACCCCCTCCTGGGCTCATCCCCTTATACAGAATACCTTGTCACCCTCCCTTGAATCTCATGGGCAAACTCACTGCATGGTGCCTCCAGCCTGGCAACCGCCTTGCCTGACATTTCCCTTCCTCTCCATATTCTGTAGTTAACCTTGTTGCCACAGGCAACCTCACCCTTTCCCTACCCGGTGGCAAGGCTTTTTTTCCTTCTTGAATATGATTTTCTAAGGTCAGCACCTCCTGTCACTTGCTTTGGTGCTTTGCAGGGGTGATGTGCAATTTAAAAGAATTCTCTGCTCCTAGCAAGCCTTGGATCACCTCAGGCAGTGCCCAGCTGGGCAGAGAACACCTGAACTAAATCTCAGCTGCAAAAAATATTTTCTCCTTTTTCTTTGCCTCATGTCTGTAGTTGGCCTCACTCCCCCTCCCCATCATTCCGAAACAGATCTCATTCTCTTGCCAACCTGGTCCTTCTGCTCCACCAGAGCCAACAATGAAGCATGCTTTCTTCGAAAAGAATAGTTTCTAGTATGTCTTTTTTATAGAAATCCTTTCCTGGATTTTCTGGGCCGGTGCCAGATTTCTCACTTATTCTTTTCTGTTCCTTGATATTCACCAAGCACCTTTCCTGGGTTTGGCTCCTAACCTGCCTGACCCTCAGGGCTGCCTTTTCCCGCCCCTCCTCAGACTAGGGTCTTTGTTCTTCCTGGCCCTCAGCCTCCTTATCTCCGTGTTCCCCTGGCGATGGAGTGGCCTGAACCTGGGCTTGGCTCAATATTATCTTCTCGCCCACCCTTCACATCCCACATGGTTTAACTCGTGACTGAATTTCTTCTCCAAACCAGTACACTGTGTGTTTTTCCTTTCTTCCTATATTTTATTTACTTATTTTTGGAGACAGGATCTCTGCCTCCCCTGGCTCAGGTGATCCTCCCACCTCAGTGCCCCCTGAGTAGCTGGGATTACAGGTGTGTACCACCATGCCTGGCTAATTTTTCTATTTTTTGTAGAGATGGGGTTTTGCCATGTTGCCCAGGCTGACCTTGAACTCCTGGGCTCAAAGCAATGCACCTGCCTCCACCTCCCAAAGTGCTGGGATTTCATCTGTGAGCCACTGCTCCAGCCTCTTCCTTTTATTTTTTAAAATTAAATCTAATCCCTGCAGGGTGCCTGTCCTTCACCACTTGTTAAAAGAGATTTGGGTCTTGTTCTTCCTTGGCCTCATGTTTTCTTTCTCTTGGGCAGAGGTCTTCCCAAAGTTCCTTGCCTAAGGCTGTTGAAAAGAGCACAGTTTTCTTTTCCTTAAGCTCCTGAAAAGTGATAGCATGTTGGAAATCCACTCATGGTTTATTATTCTTAAATCTACTTTTTTTTTCCTTTTCATATGAGTCAACCAGAGTTTTAGTTGAAATTCTTTTTGTTGTTGTCGTCAGTAAATCTTAAACTCACTGCTCAAGTTTTGAGATCTCCCTATAAATATTCTGACAAAATGAAGGAGAAAAAAAAAAACACATCATGAAAGGCAGGAATTAGCAGCTGAGCTGTGGAGTGAGCTGTGGTTTGCTCTTGTCTCCCAGAGGATCCCCACAAGCCTCTCTCTAGGTGCCGCCTTTGTATGCACAGATGGGAGTGCTGAGATCTCTCCTCATGTGGAGGGAGTGCTTTGCCAAAGAGGCAATGGCTGTCTTCTGCTGTGGATCTAGGCAGGGTTTGGATGTGGGGCTGAAGCCATGCCGTGTAGGCCCTGGCACACTCTAGACTCGGATCTGACCCTTCTGAGATCTGTGTCCTACCTCAAGAAGAGGGATGGAACCAGGAGATGCTGGGCAGGGTTGTTGTGTTGAGGGACTTGACCTGTGGCCAGAGAGAACTGCCCTCATGAGAGAGACTGACTCCAAGCTTCCAGCAGCAGGTCTGACAGAGCCTTTAAGCCCAGACTGTGCACTCAGTCTCATCCTTGGGTACAGCCCTGCCTTAAAGCTGTTGGCAACACCCAGGTGATCTGGGTAAGAGTAAGCTGCAGGCAGGGCCATTCGTTAATAATGCCACCTCCCCAGGACGTTAGCTAGCCAAGTGTGAACGTGGCTTTCTTTCAGATTTGCCTGGAATGTTAGCTCTGATTCTCCTCCTGGAGAAAGCGTCATTCACAGGAAGCATCCAGCTCATCTTGAGCTCTGGGATTCCATTCTCAGAGCCAAAACTGACTAGCTTGCAGAGAGCCAAAGGCCTGGGCTAATTGAAAAGAACGTTTGGGCAGCTCCATTTATGGGCCAAGGGCCTTGCAGGAGAGAGGGTGAGAACCAATGACATGTTTATGTGTATGTGTACGTATGTAAAGTCAATATGCTCACCATGTTTAACAATGGGAGCTAGTACTAGGCAACATGGAGGAAAATACCCACGTGTTTTTGAATCATGAGACCAGAGGAATGATGTGTGGAGCTAATAGGAAATCAGCTTAATATGGTACAGTTTTTGAATTCCTTAGGCTGCTACAGGGATCGAGAGGGAGGCTGAGGAGGTCAGGCTTAGACATCTGCCACCCCAGTTCAACTAAGACAGCTTTGTTCTATAAGTTAGGATTTCACAGGAAATTTTTTACTGAGAAATAAAAAGGTTGGGATTCTACTGTAAAGGAGGGAAGGAAGAAAGGAAGGAAGGAAGGAAAGTAGGTAAATATATACCTACTTATATAAGCAGGCATACATGCAGACAAATCGATCCAAAAATCACAGGGAGAAGAAAATGTATCTCCCAGGGATTATGAGACCTTGGAGCTGCCAGCATCTGTTGTTGACTTTGTGATTGTGGGCACACTGCTTTACCTGCCAGGGCCTCAGCTCTCCCATAGGAGAGAATGGTGGTGTTGGAGCCATGTCTCCCTTAGTGCCATGCAATGCTGTTGTGAGGGTTAGGAGAGATTGTATGTACAAATGTGCTTCTCACTTGAGAAGTGCTGTGTAAACACAGGTGATTTTTTGGTATGTTTATTTTCTCTCCTCCTTCCCCACAAGGAAGTCTTATGGGGGCAGCATTCTTACCTCCTCCAGTGGGAACATTTGAGAGGTTGACCTATCGATCACCAGTATCTGGGCCACCATGCACTGTTGTTCAGGCTGGGCACTGCACAAGCCTGCCCAGCCAAGAGAACAGATGGGAACTGAACTCTGACTCATGCTCTGTATGCTGCCAGCCCTGGTTCAGGTATGGAGTGCCAGGTGCAGGACCATTCTCTAATTCATACTGAAGCATGTTGGGGCTAGGGAGGCTTTGGCAGTGACATGCATTCACTTCTCACGGAAGCAGAGTAAAGAGATCCAAGGATGAGTTTCCAGTTCTGCCTTTCATTGCTTGCCAGCCCTAGAGGTGCCCTTAGCTGTTCAGGAGGAAAAGCAGCCCATTGTATAGATGTCTCTGAACATCTCAGGAAGGCAGCAGGTTGCTCCTGCTGCCTTTCACCTTCCCCATGGAAATTCGCAGTGGTGAACCTGCCCAGCAGCTCTGATTAAATTGAAAAGTGCCGCTCCCCTGAGATACCATTTTCCCTTGTCCAATTGGCAAAAATTCAAAACACTTACAATATGCCTGGGACAGGGCTGTGGAAAACAACATTCTTGAGATGGCGTTGCTGGTAGGAATATAAAATGGCATAGCCTCAGTGAAGAATTCGTCCCCGTCTGATGAAACTGCAAAGATATCTACCCTGTGACCCAGCTGTCCCACTTTTAGGAACTGATCACAGAAATCTGCCATGCATACACAAACACAAGAACATTCACTGTGGCAATATTTATAATAACAAAATAGTAGAAAGAGGTCAAACGTTGATCATAAGAGATTGATTGCATAAATTATGGTCTATTCATGAAGGGGAGTACTTTGCAGCCTTTAAAAATAAATAAATAAATAAATAGAGGGAGATCTCTGTGAACTAATGTGGAGGTATTTCCAGGATTTCTTGTAAAGTGAAGAAAGAAGTCTATTTAGAAATATACCACATTCTGTGTAAGAAATAAGAGAATATTAAAAATAGGCCTATGTATTTGCTTACACAGCAGGACAAACTAGAAACAAATGAAAATGGTAAAATAAAGGTATGGAGGAGAGAAGGACAAGAATAGGGCTTCTCTGAGTGCAACTTTCGACTTTTGAACCCTATAAATGCTTTGTGCATTCAAAACTGTAAATTTAAAAAAAGGATTTCTGAAAAAAAAAATTAACACCTAAAATTAAATACAAAGAAAACCAAGTATGCTGCTTATCAAATTGATAACTACAGAGAGAAACTTATGAACATGTACTCTGATCATACATTTTTAACAGCCCTATTGAATTATATACCATAAGGCTCATCCATTTTTAAAGTATACATTTCATGCAAATCAAAACCACAAATATCATCTCACCCCAGTTAGAATAACTATTATTAAAAAGGCAGAAAATAACAGATGCTGACAAGGATGCAGGGAAAAGGGAACTCTTATACACTTTTGGTGGGAATGTAAATTAATACAACCAGTATGGAAAACAGCATGAAGATTTCTCAAAAAACTAAAAATAGAACTACCATACCATTCAGCAATCCTACTACTGTGTATTTGTCTAAAGGAGAATAAATCAATGTAGCAAAAGGATACCTGCACTCCCATGTTTACTGCAGTGCTATTCGCAATAGCAAAGATACAGAAGTAACCTATGTGTCCACCAGTACACGAATAGAAAAAGAAAATGTGATGTATAATATATAGTGGAATACTCTCCATCAGTAAAGAAGAATGAAATTCTGTCATTTGCAGCAACGTGTATAGAACTGAAGGACATTATGTTAAGTGAAATAAGCCATGCTCAGAAAGAAGATGACTGTAGGAGTCTCTCCTGTGTGGGAACTAGAATACTTGATCTCACGGACACAGAGGATAGAATGATAGGTGCCAGAGATTGGGAAGGGTGGGTGAGTGGGAGTGGGGAATGAAGAGAAGTTGGTTAGTGGGTACAAACATACAATTAGATAGAAGAAATAACTTCTAAGGTTTGATAGTAGAATAGGGTGATGATACTAGGCAACACTATTTTGTGTATTTCAAAATAACTAGAAGAGAGGACTTGAAATGATACCAACTCATAGAAATGACAGATATTCAAGGTGATGGGTACCTCAAATACCCTGACTCGATTGTTACACATTCTGTGCACCTAACAGTTACATGTACCTCATAAATATTTAAAATGGTATATATCAATGAAAGAAAAAATACATTTCAGCAGTTTCTATTATATTTAGAGTTATGTAATCATCATTATAATGTAACTTCAGAACTTTTTAATTATTCCCAAAAGGAATCTCATACCCGTTTGCAAGTCCCTCCCACTATCCTCCCCACCCTGGCTGCCAGCCCTAGGAAACCACTGATCTACTTTCTGTCTTCTGACCATATATCTCTTTAGTGAGATACATTTTGATGACAAAAATACTAAACATTTTTAACAGCTTTATTGAATTATATACCATAAGGCTCACCCATTTTTAACATAAACAAATAACATAAACAAAAGCCTTGGAAAGAAATCTCAAGTTGTGTGTAGCAGGTTTATTGTTAGTGGTAATATTGCGATTAAAACTGTTACACCATCATATGTGTATTATAGCATAAGGCAGATGAATATATTTATTATTACTATTATTCAGAACAAGATTTTTACTGTAAGGAAAAAATGTACAAATACAAAATAAGTGAAAGTAATGAAAACCTTATTTTATGAATAAGAGACATCAGTATGAACTTATGAAAAAAAATTCTAATTCTATCCACTGAAAGGATCTCTTTACGACTCCTCTGCAGCAGTGAGCACACCTAGTACCTAGATCTTGGTGTCTCCATGTGATTCTCTATGAAAAGCAAACAGAGCTCGTTGAAGAAATGTTTGATTCCAGAGCTGGATAAAGGAAAGTAAAAAGTCATTGGCGACTTTTTTGTGTCCAGAAAGCAAGGAAGTGCTCAATGGAGGTCTCATTAAAAGGACACAAGAAATTATACTTCCTGGCCAAATTTCGGACAATTTAAGTATTCCAAAAAATGGTGATGGTAATGGATAATCACAATTCAGTTAAAAATTACAAAAACAAGTGTATGGAAATATTAACAACAAGGGGGTGACGGTGGGTGACATGAGGACAGCTCTTCTTTACAAAAGAATGCCTGCTGATACACGGAGAAGAAAGACAGAATTAGAAAATCACCATGTTGCGACCCCCAGTGGAACAATTAATTTGGGCAAAAATCATCGCTGGATGCTAAAACCATTGGGTGAAACCTGTGGGCACTACAGGCACATGGTCTCAAAGTATCATGACACTTTGAGTATCATTTCACGGATCTTATTACAAAGTGAGGGAAAATACCTTTATAATGTAGAGATCCGTAGGCCACCACCTTAACCCAATGATCAAGGTTGGCATCACCATCAGCGGGACAGTCTGACGTATGTGCCTGCTAATGGAATGCATTAAGGTGTTTGTAACATCATTCATGTAGTGTTCCTGCCAAAAATATTTAATTAGAATCTAATTATGAGACAACAACAAATCCAGAGTGTGAGGCATTCTATAAGACAACTGGCCAGGGCTCTTCAGAAAGAGCCAATATTATAAAACACAAACTAGTATGCAAAAATATCAGGGTGTGTTTTACACTTAAAGGACTCAAGAAATGTAACCACCAAATTAATCGTGTGAACATTGAGACCTTGGCTTTTGAACAAATTCTATAAAAGATACCGTGGGACAACTGGGGATATCTGAATTGTAGGCTGTCTATGAGATGTTATTTTTGAATGGTTAATTTTCTTAGGTGTAATAATATTGTGGTTATGTAGGAATATCCTTATTCTTAGAAGAGTGTTGAAGCAGTTAGTAGTGGTGTGTTTTAATGTCTACAGAATAATCTCAAATAGTGGAGCAATAATAAATATAAATACAGAAAGAATGAGAAATCAAATATGGCAAGATGAGTGTAAGTGAAGGGTGATGGGTGTTCATTATTTTATTTTTTTATAACTTTTCTATAGATTTAAACATTTTGTTTTTTTTTTCTTTTTTTGGGGGGGATGCTGCCAAATAAGGAGTTGCAGGGAGAACTTTAAACTTGCTGAAGGTGGTCCTCATATGTGGGGAAGGCTTCTCTCATCTGCCTTTCTGGTGGTTCGGGCTGGGCCATGCCATCTCTTCTGCCATCTGATGCTCTCTGACTCTTTCCCAAGCTGAGACATCATATCCTCTCTTGTTTCCACTCAGGTGAAGACCCCCTTGTGGACGATCAAAATGAACGAGATATCAATTCAGTTGCTGGTGTTTTAAAACTGTATTTCCGAGGACTGGAAAACCCACTCTTTCCTAAGGAAAGGTTTCAAGATTTGATATCTACTATTAGTAAGTATTTCCCAGGTTAAATGATCAGTTCTTTGACAAATCACTGTTGGAGCTGAGCCACAGGCTCATTGCTGTGCTAGGCATAGAGGAGGAATATTATGAAAGAAGTGTAGCCTGCATCCTCATAGAACTGAAAGCGGAAATAATAAGATAATTTATAATGAAAGGGCTCATGGGCATGGCACACACCCTGGGTAGAGAAGAAGCTCAGAGGAGAACCAGAGGAAGACTTGGTTTCACAGATCAGAGCCAAGAGAGTGCTGGGAGTAGAGTGTTCTGTCCATGGTGCGAGAGGTTGGAAGGGGAAAATGGAGCAAGATGGGGAAGACCTTGAATGCCTTGCAGACATTCCAGAGCTTTCCCCCTTGGGTGATGAGGAGCCATGGAAGGTCTAGAGGTCAGGTCATCAGCATGACCAGCAAGGGAAATGGTGAAAGTAAGTTGACTGGGGATTCTCGCTGACCTTGCTGGTTAGTTGTAAGAAGCTGTTATGTTTCTGTGGATAAAATCAGGAGGAACCTAGTCTAGAGGGCTGATGTCATGGCACCTTGACTGTGAGATACCCAAATCCAAAGTAACCTTTTAGAATATTTTTTAAAATAAGCTTTTAACTTTAGAATATTATCATTTTAGTCATTTAGAATAAACTTTTAAATTTGATTCACAGAAAAGTTGCCCCACACCCAGTTTCACTTGAGGTGTTTCTCACAATACTCTGAGAGATATTTGCAGCCAGGAAAGTGTCCAGGAGATGACAAGAGAAGAGAGAGGTTTGAGCTCTCTTTTATTGTGTGTGTAAAAGACCCTTCTGTTCCCTCTTCCCTCCACACTATCCCCTGCTCATCTTTCCAGACTTCTATACTGCAAGCTCTATTCTAGACTGCTAAGGTCTGACCCTGCCTGAGCCCTGTATCACTTGCTCAGCCAGTGTTTCCAGAACCCTCAAAAATCCTGTTCCTGTACAGGGCCCTTAGCAAATTTCAGGTGTAGGGTGACTTGGAAACAGGGGTCAGAGATGAGATCCCAAGCATCTGCCAGACTTTGACTGATAGGTAGCTTGAGAGGTGGTGATATATTCGATGTTCATTTCCTGAGCAACTACTATGTGTCAGGCCTGTTCTGCAGCTGGTGTTTGTAAAGAGTTTAATACAACATGGTCCCTGCCTGTGTCTGTCAGGACTCACAGGTACCAGAAACCCAGCTTAAACCTGCTTACTTCATAAAAGGGAATGCATTGGTTCAGGTACCTGAAAAGCTTAGGACCAGGAGGACTCAGACCCTCGCATAGCATCAGCAGACATATGCCCCCTCCATCTCTATGCCAGCTTCACTCTTAGGTGGGATCCTCCTCTCAAGGGCCCCCACCATGCTCCAGGTTTCCCTCCACCCAGATCCAAGAGGGCACCTCCCTGTGGGTTTCTTACAACCAAAGTCCCAAGAGTCGACTCTGATTGGTTCTTGATTAGGCCACACCCCAGCCTCCTCCCTGTAGCGGGGGAGATGGATGCTCTGATTGGCCAGGCCAGGATCACCTATGATCCCCAGAATCAAGGGTAGCGCTGGCTCTTCCATCCAGGTGGGCTGAATATAGGAGGTGTGGCCTGTGAACATTTGCTGCATTGCTCCCTAAGGTTGAAAGGCATGCTGAAAGGCCCCTTTGTGTTACAGAACTGGAGAACCCAGCTGAGAGGGTGCACCAGATCCAGCAAATCCTCGTCACCCTTCCCCGTGTGGTCATCGTGGTCATGAGATACCTCTTCGCTTTCCTCAACCAGTGAGTACCTGCCCAAGGGGCCCATTTTTGACTCAGGCCTGGCCTCCTTTGGGAGGGGGTATCTTGAGACTTTTGCAGATACTGTTTTTAAAGGAGAACATGGAACCCTCCTGGATTTGTTTAGAGTCCCCTAAAAGACAGAAACCACAGGGGGAGGACTTGCCTTTCCCAGATGACTTGTGGGTAACTCCTCTCTCCTAGCCTCTCCCAGTATAGCGACGAGAACATGATGGATCCCTACAACCTGGCCATCTGCTTCGGGCCTACCCTCATGCACATCCCCGATGGGCAGGACCCTGTGTCCTGCCAGGCACACATCAATGAAGTCATCAAAACCATCATCATCCATCATGAAGCCATCTTCCCCAGCCCCCGGGAGCTAGAGGGACCTGTGTATGAAAAATGCATGGCTGGAGGGGAAGAATATTGGTAAGATGCCATTGCTCTTAATACTGTTATTATTATCATCATCATTGTTGTTGCCACTGAACAGGAACAATAAGAAACCCTTCAGTTTTCGTAGTGCTTGATAGTCAGTGCTTCCATATACATTTTCTCATCTGAGCTTCACAGCAGCCTCACATGACAGGTAGGTACATCAGTTAGGATTCTCTTGGTTACAAGGGACAGACATACAACTCAAATTGCCTTAAGCCAAATGAAATTTTATTGGTTTGCTTAAGTGAAAAGTCTGGGAATATGTCTTCAGGTATAGCCTGATCCAGGGGCTCAACTATTACCAGAAGGACTTGGTCCTGCAATCTCAATCCCTTGACCCTGCTTTATTCTGTGTTGGCTTTGATCTCAGACAGGCTTTTCCTTGGTGGTTGCAAGCAGGCAGCCAGCAACTTAAGATCTATAACTTACTCTCTTATCATCTTCAATAGAAAAAGACGCTTTCCTTCCCATATGTTCCAACACAAACTCAAGAATTGTGTTTCATTGCTGAGGTTTGGGCTTGGTGAAGTAATCTCCTTGGTAAGGAGATGCAGTGCTTTAACTGGGCCATGTGAGTCACAAGCCCATCTCAGGATGCGGGGGAGTGAATAGTCCCCACCTCAACTTCAAGAACTGAGTGTGGGGTTTTCCACCCTTGTCTCCTCTCACCTAGGAGTTATTTTTTCCAGACAAAGTGAGCGCAATTTCTTTGCATGTTCAACATCATGTCAACAATCACTAGTTGGGCACCTCTGTGTACCTGGTATACCTGGTACTACACTGGGTCTTAGGAGAAATGTTTTAGAACCTTTTCAAAGTCAGAGCTTTGAAAGCTTCCTCAGGCTAAGACCTTAAATTGGGAAGACAGGAAAAAATGTTTAAATGTGGTGAAGACAGGGTATTCAGAACACTAAATGACACAGACCAAAGCATTTCTACTATTTCTTTATTTCGAATCCAGGAGAGCACACAGTTATATATTTAGGTATTACCCACACTGCCTTCAGCCAGGTGCCTACAGGGGAGTTTGTTTTTTGATTGTCAAAGCATTCCTGGACTTTTGGATTGCCTTAGTACTGTGAGCATATTTGGGCAGCTGCTTCAAAGAAGCAAGGCGTTCCAGCCTTTGTGTTTCCTTCCCACCTGCCTCCCTGCATAGAAATACTGGGTCATAGTGGTGTCTAATCACAGCTCTCTAATCTCGTTTGAGGCACTAGGGGGCAAGTCCATCCCTGTTCTGTAACAGAAACATTAAACAGCTGGCAAGCATAATTTCTGGACAAAGAGAAGCTTTTGACACAGTTTTTGCAACCACTACCAGTTCTCTTTTCTTGCTGCAATATATATAATTAGTGTTCTGAGAAGGGACCCACAGATCTTCGTGTACTTATCAAAGAACAATATACAATAACCATGCTTTTCTTAATCCTATTTGTTTTCCACGAGACTGTAAAACTATTAATTACATGGTAATTTTGGAGTTTTCAAAACCAAAAAGGGAGACTTGGCTGAGGGTCTTAACACAGTAGACAACATTCATTCATTCAACAAATGGTAACTGAGCATCTGTTGTAGGCTGGTTCTGTGCTAGGAGTCAGGGATGTAACCAAACAAGATTGACCCCTGGTGCAGGAGCTCTGATGGAATAGGAAACAGAGGGCTCCGGAAATGGGTCTCCCTGAGCCAATCTAGGGAAGTCAAGAAGGGCTTCCTGGGGGAAGTACAGACTGAGCTGAGACTGCAGAATGAACTGGAGCTAGCCCAGTGAGGAGTGGGCAAAGACCTGGATGATTCAGTAGAATGAAAAGTGGTTCAGTGTGGCCACACATGTGTCAGCATGTGTGACAGGGGAATCATGAAGGATGAGGCTCCACAGGTTGGTTAGAGCCAAGCTATGAAAAATCTTGGAAGCCCTTGAGTTTGGTCCTGATCTAGGTGGCAGTGGAGAATTTTTCATAATAAAGTGCATATTCCTTTAAATGGCATTGCAAATGTCACCTCCTTTGAGAAGCCTTCCCTGATCACTCTTTATAGGTCCCCTCTGCTGTTCTTGTCTCTACACATTAATTTCCTACATAACACTATTTCAACTTGCAACTGCCTTATTTAATGGCCTGTTTACTTGGGCTTTTTTCTTGTCCCCCTCCCTACAAGGTAAGCAGCGTGAGGCCAGGGCCCTTGTCCACCTTATCTATCATTGCATCCCTCCTACGAGCACACTGCCTGGCATGTTAGAACTCACTTAGTGGCTCTATAAAAAACAACTGGCTGACTATGTTAATTAACCCTTGCCTGTAGAAGCTTATAATCTAGCGAGGGGGTAGTAGCTGGTGAAATTATACCACAACATTAACAACTAGATCTGATGGATCAGATTACTCAGCTACCATGCCCATCATGGTTGCCAGTCACTCTCACTACCTGCATCAATGGGGGCTTTTGCACGCAGAAAGACGGGGTGGCCCTTGTTAGCATCCTCTTACCTCCTGGGATGTGTCGCCTTAGCTATAAGACAAGAGAGTCAGGCCAGGTGAAATAACTTATGGTACTTCAAAGGGTTCTTTTTCTTCTGGCCTGTGGTCCTTCCAATGACAAATACTGGGGTTTTGCTACTGCCCTCTTGATCTTACAGAACATGTAAGCATTGACAGTCGTCACCACGACAGTCCAGCAAGTTCCAGGGCTAGGAGGGCACTAGGGGTGATTTTTGGGAAGCTTTACAAGGAAGAGGCTGGGAGTAATTTTCTGATAGGAAGATCCCTGGAGTGGTTAGATGGAAGAGATAGGATGGTATAGGCCTGCATCTGAGCTGCGGGAGGACCCAGAGGCCAACTGGACTGGTCTGAGAGTCTAAAGATGCTATGAAGGTAGATAACCTTCCAGTGAGTCCCCTTCCCATGTTTCCTTGCAGTGACAGCCCACACAGCGAGCCAGGGACCATCGATGAAGTTGACCATGACAATGGCACTGAGCCTCATACCAGCGATGAAGGTGAGTGAGGGGGATCCTGGGGACAAGAAATTCTTCCTCTGGCCTCTCACACTGACTTATGTCAGCCCAACCACAGGGCTGGCCCACGTAGACCCCTTCAGCTTTACAAGTCAGCCGTCTCTCTTTCAGAATAGATGAAGACCCAGAAAAACCTTCAAGGCGTTCCCCAAGTCCCAGTATGGGCCTGACACAGAGCAGATCCTTGTAGGCTCATGCTGTGTTCACCACATCCCACATCCAGCCCACTTCATTACTTAATGTGTCCTGCCTGGCCCAGGCACAAGTCCTAAGTGACACAAGTTTCCTAAATGGGAAGCAAGCTTTGTCCCTCCATCCTTCCCCCGTGTGGATCTGTTTTGTGCCAGGCCTGTGCTGGGACTTGGGTGTGGGGATGAACCAGATGTCGGTCCTTGAGGAACTCCCCGTCTGTCACCAGATCTTGACAGGTTGGAAGTAGCTTCTCATGGTGCAAAGCGATAATGTCGGATTACAGGTGTGTCTGGGAAGTGTGTGGTGAGAGAGAGAGAAAGGCCAGCCAAGACCTTTCACCGGACTCCTCCACCCCTTCCAGACAAGAAGAGAGTTGGACTGGTCTTTAGGGAAACTGGACTGCATAGACAAGCAATCTGAACCATATGCCAACTTATCAAACATCAGGCAGAGTAGGCACACTGCCAAGGGCCCATGGTACTTGTAGAGGTCCACTAAAATGTTTTCTTTTAAAATCAGAAAAAAGTGAATGCAATATCTAGTCTGGATTATATTTGTCTTTATACCAAGGCAGTTGTAAAATATAATTTTTAACATTTTTGAATGGAGGAAGGGACCCATGCAGGCAAAAATGCCTAGGATCCAAGAAAGTTAGAATACAGCCTGAGATGCACCAAGCGCCTGGGATAGTTTTCCTTGTAAACATCATGGCTTAGCAGTTCTCTGACTTGTCCTTTGAGTTTCTCTTGTGGGACCAGGTTATGTTGGCCACCACATTTGTCAGGAGAGCAGGCAGGCACTCAGGTGACAGTTCTGGAAACTGGTAAAAGAGAAAGACTGATAGATAGGTTTTCACATTCTAGTAGGACTATTTCAGTTGCTAATGATATAACCCCCAACTCAAATTAATTTCAACTTAAAAGGGAATAAGTTCCTATACCTGAAAAGTCCCAGGGTTGGCATGGCTTCAGCTGGATCCAGGAGCAAGGGTGATTTGGTCAGCACTTTGTCTTCTTGCTCTGCTTCCCTCTGTGCTGGCTTCATTCTCGTGTAGTGGTCTCTGGCAATTCCTGGCTTTCACCATCCTCCTACCCAAAGTCTCAATGGAAAAGTGCTTCCTTTCTATAATGTTTCCAAGAGAGGTCCTGGGGTGGAGTCTCACCGGACTACCTTGAGGCATGCACTCAGGCCTGATCCAGTCCCTGTGGCCTGAGAGGGAGCTAACGGTCCAGACCTGGGTCACAGGTACAGAAAAGCAAATCCAGATGTCACATTCAGCTTGATCAGACTCCTGAGAGGCTAGAGTCATCCTGAACTGAGATGTGTCCTGCAGAAGATTTGTTTGGAAATGGGAGGGCTACACCTTCCGCTTATTCGTGGTGATTTGCTTTTCTCTTTCCTCCTTTTTCACTTCTGCTGACCACCTCCAGTTCTCCCCTTCCCTTTATCCCTGTTAATAGCCCCCACCCCGTCCTCTCCATCTGTTGCTCTTTTTATTTCTGGGTCTCTTTCTGCCTGACTCTTTATCACTCTCTCTAGCTTCTTCTGTCTCTCTCTCTCTCCCACTCCTGACATTTCCTCTCTTTTGTCTTGACTGGAGCACCTGCCTTCCTGGGGACTGAGGTCCCTGTCCGTGCCTTTGCTGGTTTTTCCACAGCTCCTGGGACTGATGGGCAGAAGGCAGCTCTGGACACCAGGATTGAGGATGAGGAGAGACGGAGAGAATATCTAAGAGTCCTTTGCCAAATTCTAGTTCATGAAGTTGTATTCCTGTATTTTCTTTTAAGAGTTTTAGATCTTACATTTAGGTCTTTGATCTACTTTGAGTTAATGTTGGTATAAGGTAATGGTCAAACTTCATTGCTTTGTATGTGGCTCTCCACTTGTCCCAGCACTATTAGTTGAAAAAATAACTCTTTTCCCCATTGAATGGTCTTAGCACCCTTGTAAAAAAATCCTTTCACTATAGGTGTATGGGTTTATTTTTGGACTTGCAATGCTATTCCACTGACCTATATGTCTATCTCTGTGTCAGTGCTATACTGTCTTTATTACTGTTGCTTTGTAGTAACTTTTGAAATTGGGATGTTTAAGTCCTCCACCTTTGTTCTTTTTCAAGATTGTTTTGGCTATTCTGGGTTTTTTGCAATTAGATATGAATTTTAGAATCAGCTTATCAATTTCTACAAAGAAGTAGGCCAGCATTCTGATAGGGATTGCATTAAATCTGTAGTCAGTTGGAAATATTACCATCTTAGTAGTGTTAAGTCTTCTGATCTATAAACATGGGATGTTTTGCCAATTATTTAGATCTTCTTTAATTTTTTCAACAGTGATTTGTAGTTGCCAGAGTTTGAGTTTTGCACTGCTTTTGTTAAATTTATTCCTCTGTATTCTTAATTTTACTTTTGAATTGTTTATTATGAGTGTATGGAAATATAATTGTTTTTAATATATTTCTCTTGTATTCTGCAACCTTGCTGAACTTATTCATCCAGTCAGATAGTTTTTAGTGATTTCCTTATGATCCTTTTAATATATAAGATTATATTATTATATATAAATAGAGATATTTTTACTTCTTTTCCAATTTGGATACTTTTTATTTCTTTTTCTTGCCCAATCGGCCCAGCTAGACTGTCCAGTACAACATTGAAGTGATGAGAGTGGACATCCTTGTCTAACTCCTGATCTTATGGGGAAAGCATCCAGTTTTTCACCATCAAGTATGATGTTAGCTATGAGTTTTTCATAGATGTTAGCTATAAGTTTTTCGTAGATGCCATTTGTCAGGTTGAGGAAGTTCCCTTTTATTCCTAGTTTGTTGAGTGTTTTATCTTGAAAGGATATTAGATTTTGTCAATGCTTTTTCTTCATCTATTGAGATGATCGTGTGCTTTCTGTTTTTATTTTACTGATAAGATGCATTGCATTGATTTTGTTTAGATGTTAAATTAGTTTGGAATAAATTCCACTTGTGGATAGAGCATAGTTCTTTTTATGCTACTGAATTTGGCTTGTGAGTGATTTTTGTTCTGGGGGTTTGTTTTGGAGATGGAATCTTGCTCCACCATCCAGGCTGGCATGCAATGGCACAATCTTGGCTCACTGCAACCTCTGCCTCCTGGGTTCAAGTGATTCTCCTGCCTCAGCCTCCCAAGTAGCTGGGATTACAGGTGACTGACACCACACTAGGCTAATGTTTTGTATTTTTAGTAGAGAAAGGGTTTTGCCATATTGCAGGCTGGTCTCAAACTCCTGACCTCAAGTTATCCACCCAGCTCAGCCTCCCAAAGTGCTGGGATTACAGGCATGAGTTACCGTGCCCGGCCGGGTTTGCTAACATTTTGTAGAAAATATTCACATCCGTATTCGTAAGAAATACTGGTCTGTAGTTTTTTTGTGATATCTTTGTCTGGTTTTGGTACCAGGGTGATACTTGCCTGGTGAAATTAGTCGAGCAGTGTTCCCTTCTCTTCTAGTTTTTGGAAGACTTTATGAGGAATAAATTAATTCTTTTTCAGATGTTTGGTAGAATTCTTTTTCAGATGTTTGGTAGAATTCAACAATGTAGCCATCTGGGCCTGGACATTTACTTGTGATTATTTTTTTGATGATTAATTCAATCTCTTGTTATAAGTATATTCATATTTTCTATTTCTTCTTAAGTCAGTTTCAATAGTTTGTGACTTTTTAGGAACTTGTTAATTTTATGTAAGATCTCCAATTTGTTGGCATCTAATTGTTTATAGTGTTTCTTTATTATCCTTTTCCTACAGTAAAATAATGGTGGTAATATCCCTCTTTCATATCTGATTCTAATAATTTGAGTCTTCTTTCTTGTTTTCTTGGTTTATTTAGCTAATGGCTTGTCAATTTCATTAATCTTTTCAAAGAACTAGCTTTTGGTTTTATAATTTTCTCTATTGTTTTTCTATTTTCTAGTTTATTAATTGCTACTCTAATCTTTATTATTTCCTGCCTTCTGCTTGCTTTAGGTTTAGTTTGCATTTTTTTCCAGTGTCTTAAGGTGGAAGTTTAGGTTATTGATTTGAGGTGTTTTTTTTCCCCTAATATAGGCATTTATAGCCATACATTTCCTTCTAAGCACTGTTTTAGCCCCATCCTCTTAAGTTTTGGTAAGTTATATCTTCATTTTCATTCATCTCAAAAATTTTCTAATTTCTCTTTTGATTTTGTCTTTAATCATTAGTTATTTGGCAATATGCTGTATAATTTTTGCCTATTTGTCAGTTTCCCGAATTTTTCCCTGCTATTGATTCCTACTTTAGAAAAAACTTCTTCTGTCGAAGAAATCAATAATTTTATCCTACTGTGATAGAAGAACGCATTTTATATTATTTGTATCATTTTGAATTATTGAGGTTTGTTTTATGGACTAGCATAAAGCATACCCAAGAGAATGTTCCATGTGCAGTTAAAAAGAATGTATAGTCCCTTGTTGGGTGGTGTGTTCTGTAGATGCCTGTTAGGCCTAGTTGGTTTATAGTGTTGTTTAAGTCTTTTAGTTCCCCTTTGATCTTCTGTCTAGTTGTTCTGTCCGTTATTGAGAGTTGGGTATTGAAGTCTCCAACAATTATTTTTGAATTGGCAATTTCTTTCTCTTTTTTTGTCAGTTTTGCTTCATGTATTTTTATGCTCTTTTATTAGGTGTATTTTGTTTATAATTGTTTTTATCTTGATAGATCAAAATTTTATCATTATGAAATGCTGCTGTTTATCTCTAGCAATATTTTTAGTTTTAAAGTCTTATTTTGTCAATATTAGTA